AAAAGTAACTGGAGGAAAACTTGCTATAGAAAGATTATGTCCACCTCTATTTTAATTAATTTCTTTAAATGATCTGTATATATTTTGTGCGATTTACCTATTCTTCATTAGTCTTGGGTCCATGTTCATCAAATGACAAATTGCACTTTAGCTGTTTTTCCTTTCTCTTTTGCTTGCATTTTAATGAAATTCCACCCAAAAGTTTTTGTCGGTCATATTATCTTTTTTCGCTCTATACATGGTATAAAACGTTTTTAAAAAATATGTTAATTTTATCAGTACTATTGGATTGAGAGCAAACTTTGTAGACGCTGATAATTTCTTTTTCAAAATCTTTCTTCTTATAATTTTGTCTGATTTTAGTAAAGCTTTTACGCAGTCTACACAAATTCTCTACATTATTTTTTTTTATTTCAACGAACAATGTCAGCCACTGTTACTACAATGAAATATGAAGATAACGAACAGTATTCAATCTCGAAAGTCCAATGAAACAATACAAATTTGGAGCAGAGCAAACACGGACCTCAAAATTTAGAGGTGGGATCAGGTGCCATGGAGGAGTGAGCATGCCCTGCCTATCGGTCACACCCGCCGTGTGCTCCTTGAAATACAAATAGAGGTAGAGCAGCTCTTCCAAGAGTTTTTGTTTGACAATAAAACTTCGTATATAAGTTCACTTTATTAAGATACATAATTCAATTTTTCAGGTTTTGGTTTTGGTTTTAACAAATAGTGCTGCCACGGTAACTAAAAATTCTGTTTTTCATATTGAAGTTTTCATCTAATTTCAATCAACTTCGTACAAAAGAAGACTGGTTTACAAACACCTTGACTATCGTTTTCCATATTAGATGAAGATTGTTGCCATATTCTGTAAACTTGCATCAAAGTGTTTTGTGATAAAATCAAAATTTTGAACGAATAACCGATGATTAGAATTACATTGTATTTGTCCTGACTTAGTATACTAATGCACCACGTTTTACTGAAATCAGACTACTACTGTAAAACGTGTAGCATTTTGAAAAAGTTAATTATCACACATATTTCTATCAATATTTTTGCTTACCACTGTAACATTGTTCATCAAAATTTTAATGTGTACCAGGGTGATGTTTAAAGTGTTTCAAGTTTTATTGAAATTAGAACAATCTGCTGAAAGAAAAGCATATTCTGGGGGAAATGATAATTCTGTAAATGTAAAACTTAAAGTGTTTTAAGTCTAGGTGCTACTTTTCTTCCTTTCATATAGACCTTGAGGTTTTCTTTATTCATTATGCACTGGACAAGAAATGGCCTGGGCATAAAGTGTTCTTCATTTTCTTCCGTCATTCTGTCATTCCATCATAGTTTTCCGGACTTTTTTTTGTGCTGTTGATAATGAGCTAATTTTGGGTTCGGGTATGCCTATTTATGCATGAATTTATATAGGTCAAGTTCGAGGTTGATGGCTAAAAATCATTTTTTTTAAGAATATGTATAGGGCCTATTGCCCTACTACTAAATAGAAAATACCTGAATGAAGATACATCAGCAGGAGTTACTGCCCTTAGCAACATTCTTTAAGGATTAAATAATTGATTAAAAAAGGAAAATATTTAATGTTTTAACTCTTTTACTTTACAATATTTTTCATTACACCCACTGAAAAACATTCTTTTGAAAGATATTTTTCTATTGGGTATGATTTTAAATTAATAACAGTTTTTGCTAAAACCTATGACATCACAGGAGGGTGGAATTTCCTTAATTTGATTTATACTCTCCGTGTGAATAGTACGGAAGCGTATTAGTGCCATTTTGACTCTTTTTATTTTTTAATTTCTACACTTTAATCTGTAAAATTTATACATTAATGTGTAAAATTTACACTTTAATGGGTAAAATTTACTCTTTAATCTGTAAATTTTACACTTTAATATGTAAAATTTACACTTAAATCCGTAAATTTTACAGATTAAAGTGTAAAATTGACACATTAATCTGTAAAAATTACACTTAAGTGTATAAAATTTACACTTTAATCTGTTTAATTTAACATTAATCTGTAAATTTTACACTTTCATCTGTAAATTTTACACTTTAATCTATAAAATTTACTCTTTAATGTGCAAAATTTACACTGTAATGGGTAAAATGTACACATTATTCTGTAAATTTTACACTTTCATCTGTAAATTTTTCACATTAAATTGTGTATATTTTACACATTAATCTGTAAAATTTACACTTTAATCTGTAAATTTTATACTTTATTCTGTAAAATTTACATTTTAATCTGTAAAATTTACACACCATATTGGAACACACTATACTGGATATGCAGCGTTTGGCCATAAGACAGTGGCAGGGCAGTTGGTATATATGGTGTCAGCAAGTTATTATTTCTGTTGGTTAAAAATACATGCACTTGTTTCATACAGTACTCTAGATTTCTATTGTCAGTCCACGGTTTCAAAAGTAGGGGGGCTTCCCCAAAAAATCTGACGAGCAAAAAAAAAAAAACTAAACTGACCAAAAAGTTGGGGGGGGGGGGCGACTTTCCAAAATAATCTGATAAGCAAAAAACTGTCCAAATCCTCGAATTTGCCAATGCCCCACCTTACAGCAACAAAAAGGGGGGGGGGGGGTAGTTTCTAAAGGATAATTTACAATAGCAAAATACCATACTCAGAAGAAGTGGGGGACCTGATTATTGTATAGTAGTAAACTAGCATGCTATGAAACAAGCGACTTTGAAAAGTACTTTTACTAGATTTAGGAATGTAAAAATGTCTTCTATGGGTATACACGACATTTAAACCATAGACACCATACGACTATTGCAGTAAAAGTATGATAGCCCGGGAACGGCACTAAGTGACTTCTAGGCGACATGTTGGACTTTTTTTTCTTGATATCGTTTCAGAGACAGGGTCAACATCGCTGTTGCAACCTCTCTGATAACCTTATATCAACACACAAAAGGTGTGCAATCGGCTTCGGGCAATTAGTTTTCGCGCAAGAGGGTGTTGTCTTGAAATAAAGACATCGGCAAATTCGACTGCAGAAGGAAAGACGAAAATTTAGAATTACTCGTGTCGATGAGGCAAGTGTATTTGCAAATGAAAATACTGAGTTGTGCGTTAGCAATTTTGTCTTTTTTTTTTCTTTTTTTTTTTTTTTTTTTTTTTTTTTTTTTTTGTTTTGTTTTGTTTTGTTTTGTTTTGTTTTTGTTTTTTGTTTTTTGTCTATTGTACATATTCTTGGGGGCATATCAGGTAAAAATTGTATCGTAGAACTATATGTGCACAAAGAAATGAAAGGAATTCCTTTGACCTGGTAGCATTGTTCGAGTTTCATCTGCGATTCAACAGTGTTTATCAAGAGAAACAACTTAGATAATACAACAAAACCAAATTTTATGCCGAGTTAAAATTAATTATGTTCGATTTTCACATTTACGTCAAGATCGTCAAAAGGAGGGGTGTATCGGGTTGCATATCGGGTCCCCCCCCCCTTTTTTTTTAAATTTGAATTTTTTTCTGGAACAAAAAAGATTTAGTATTCATTATTCATCTGTTAAAAGTAAAATACTGGCTAGATTTCATTTACTTAATTGTCGGGAAAAACTGACTTCCAAATACCAGAATTGATCCACCAGAATGGTATCTGGTTTGGTAAACAAAAATCCGGGCTAAGGAAACAAAGTACCCCATCCATCCCCCACACTACCCTCTCCAGACACCTGGTGACGGCTCTGTACGTAATGTACAGAATATATATTTTTTTTTAAACTGAGAACGCGCGAAATGGAAACGTTGTCCCAATAAATCTTGTATCTGAATGCTTTATAATTCAATTCAATTCGTTTATTGACCAATTAAGGGCCCTCATGGGGCAAAAAGAAAGTACATTGTTAAAATGTATATAATGATTATGATCATACACACGAAATACAATATACATATACATAAGAGGGAAAGAATTGCTTGATTGGTAGAAAAGACATACTGTACAAGTAGGGGAATGCCCAAAATATTTTATATGAACGTAAGACTTGTTTTATAGGTATATATACAGTACATCATATGTATATGCATACATTACTAAACCATATACTTGAAAGTATCATACTTTTACATAATTAATAATAATAATAATAATAATAAAAAAGTTACATTCCTAAAATTTATGGTAATGTTTATATGATCTAGTTTCCATCGCCGATGGCCAAATACCTCAGTCAAGAATACATTACCTGTGTAGAACTCAGGACCTTGCTCAGGTTTGTCGCATGTGTCCTTTTTCACATTCGGAAGTGACAACATTGAAGTAAAAGACCTGGGTTGACCCAGGGATATATAATTGTTATTTACAAATGTATGTCTCTGGACGACCCACAGGCACCTGATACATGTATTAATTTTATTAATAAGTATTAAATAAAGCCCTTAAAAATCCCACCTTATATTTAACTAAAGAGTGAGATTTAATAAAACGTTCTATGATATCCATAGGCACTTGGTTTGAGGATGGTGTATTTTGTGTATTGTGTGTTTTTCTAGGTGTGTCTGAATACACTCATTAAAATAAAAATTAAAAATAGCTGAATTAACACGTTTAAAAAACATCATATAACTATATATAAAAAGAGTTCTGATTTTATATACAGTTATATGATTTTTTTAAACGTGCTAATTTCAGCGATTTTTTATTTTAATTTTAATGAGTTATTCATAAACACCTATAAAAAACACAAAATACACCATCCTGAAACCAAGCGGCCGATGGTTCTATCTAGTGGCAAGATATCGAATCTGTAGAGTGAATTGGGGGAGGGTGAATTATGATCTAATCCATCCTGTTTTCTCTTCTGAAGTTGTTACTTAGAATTCGTCATTTATGCCTACATGTCCCGTTATCAATCGGACGAGAGAGATGCCAAAAACAATTTTTTTTTCTTCTTTTTTTCCTTTAAAAATATGTCGGGATCAAGATTCTTAATATTTTTCTTCATTAAAACATGGTAGATTTCCGGTGGGAAATTGTGATGACTGATTCAGACTGAAGAGTGAAGTGAAGTTGTGTCTTAGAAAATGATGCAGAGTTAAAGTAAGTATTTCTCGTGTATGTTCATATACAATGCACTGTAGATGCACCTTTATGAGGATGATATACAGGTGAAGAAACATTACATTTAAGGACCAAATCAAACTTTGATGGAGAAGTCTGTATCAGTTTTATGCTCTACAGCTGTTCAAAACCTCTAAAACAGAGAAAAATGAGCAGACTTCAAAACCTTATTAATCATAATGTCATAAATAAGATATGACTTAAGGAAATTGACGTAATTAAAAATTGTGAAAGAAGAAAGTGTATTTTACTTCGATACTTTGAATTTGATTGGAAAACAGAGAGCACACAGGTCTGCTCAGAACTATAATCAAATAATCAGCTGATAATGGGCCAGTATATTTAAACTCTGTCGGATTTCTTTCGCTAGCAAACTAGACCTTATATCCTATAAAAGTTTTAAATGTTATGTTCAATTTTTTTCTTTGCAACTTCTTTATGTGCATTAAACAGGGCCAGTACAATCAGTACATTTAGCTACATAGGTTGATTTACCTACCATAGCTTTATTTAGCTACTTGAAGTAGCTCTATGAAGCTATTTCAATGCAAGTTTTCACAATTTTGCTTTTTATTTGAAATAGACAAAAAAATCACAAGTATGTTACTACCTATATTAATATTGGTGAATTTTAAAAAAGCAACTCAGAGAAAAGATAGTTAAAAGTTTTATTTTATCTACACAGGTGTTGAACATTTTTGGTCTGACAGAAAATGGTTTGGTCCTATAAAAACCATTGAACAATAGAACCAAATGTCCTGTGTGGGCAAAAAAAAAAAACCTGTGTTCACTGGGGGCAGGAATATGCCTTTAGCCTATAGTTCTTTTATATTGCTTTTACTTTGTATGGAAAGCTGAATGAATTAGAAACCAAAGTCTGTGCAGATTCGTCAACCTATAAAATACCCTAACCCATGACACAGGTTATAAAGTTCACATTTAAAAGTGTAATAAAGTTAACACACAATTGTCTGTTTCACATGTGTACTTGTAAATCTTTTGAAACATTGATCACATGGACTTTTTGTAGCTTGATAAGTATAAATTGTCAGCCAAGAAGAGCCAGCAGTTGCACCTTAACTGTATATAGAAATCATTACTTACTGTCCAGTAATCTGTATTGTAAAGAGGCCTCTGACCAAGATAAACTTCAAAGAAACATGGACACGGGCTCAGATGGAGCATTTCAGCCAAAAGAGGATATCCTTAATATCCTCACCTCCCTAGGATTTTCTCGGAATGCTTCTATCAAGGTAAAAAAAAAAATGCACATGCTCTAATACATTGAAAAAAAAAGAATTCAACATTTTTTTTTTTTTTAGATAAAGGAATGCAGACAGATTTTTAACTGGAAGTACTAATAGCACACCTATCAAGACTCACGTTTGCATGCTTACACACATTTATTGTATGTTGTTATTGGGAATGGGTACGGAGAAAGGGTTGCTTACTGTAATTGAACCTAAAGATATATCTGTAAATATATCACATTTATTTTTTTAAATTCAGGGCTATTAACTTTGAAGTGTCTTACAACAAGTGCCACAAAACTTTTTTAGCACTAGCCAAGCTGGGCAATTGTTCAAGCACAATAAGATTTGACTAGTTCATACTAGTCTAATGATTTTTTTAAAAATGTAAATTTCTGACCACTTTTTTCTAGAGTAACTACAGCTATTAGGCTAGTGCAGTAAGAGCCTCAGTTAACATCACTATTTTCCTTATAGAAAGGTATATACCTTGGCACCGAGTCTTAATTAGTACAATGTATATTGCCATGAACCTCTAACATTCCAGAAAAGGCTAGTGCTGATCTTCTTTCCAGTAGGTCAATCATATATTCACATGTGTTTAGTCCTCAGAGTTGTTATTTTAGCTGATGAAGATGAAGAATTTGAACTTCATATACTAAATTTGTGGGTAATGGAGACTCAGCCTCTTAATTAGTACATTTTCAGTGATATTTAGGACTTCCACTAGGTGTTGAGTCAGGACACATTACTTCAACGTGTAAAACATGACATGTATTTTGCATCAGAGCATTTTCTTTATCATTTAAAGTTTGGTAATTATCAAAGAATGTGAATGTAATTGATGCATGGAAGGTCTCCTTCATCAAGAGACAAGTATACTTATGTGATCTCTGATCTCAGTGTTCATCAGAAATATGCAATAGTAAAGCTACATGTTTTGGCGAAAATTACCGATCCTGTAGTCCTATGCTGGCAGAATTCTTTGTTAAACAGCATTTTTTTCCTGTCATATTGTAACAGAGACATGTTATGTCTCCGCTTGGGATTGAACCTGGTACCTCTAGCATGCCAATCTAGTGCTCTACCAATTGAGCTAAAAGGTTAACCCCCTAGCCCAAGCTAGTAAGAAGCCATATATCTAACACTACCACAATATGTCATGTGGTACTACAATAACTGATATCTTATAAACTAAAAAAATCATGTTTTCATGCTGTCTAGCTTAACAATAAACATGAGTTTGTTTGCACTTTACTACAGGCCCTTTATTACACTGGGAACAGTAATGCGGATTTGGCTGCAGCGTGGGTCATAGAAAACCAACATCGGAGCGACATTGATTCACCTCTAAATGTAAGAAATTAATATTGAATTAAGTATTATAATTTAATTAATCAATCATCACAATAGAAACAACAAAGATTAATGATCTTTATTATCCAGTTTGCATGTACTGTCATTTTGGCAAAAAAAAAAATTCACAGCCTACCAGATATGTGATTCAATAGTTATTTGAAAATATATCTGTATTAGAGGATGTTTTATAGAGGAATGAAATTTTAACAGGAGGATGAATCAGATGACCATGGAGATGAAGCAGGATATTTACCAGAAGGAGTGGACTTCTATAAAATGGTTTTTGTGGTCAACTCAGAACTGGACATGGGAGTTGGTAAAACAGCTGCTCAGGTTGCTCATGCTGCTCTCGGTTTACATCGTACCCTACTTGATGATCCACAGAAGTATGGGCAGATGTTGATGAGTTGGGAACAATTTGGGTCAGTAAATGTATTTCCAATCACATCATGCGCTAGTTTGAATTTCTGTATCCACTTGTATAAATCATTCAATGTATTCTTATTTTTATTTATTTATTTATTTTTCTTTTTTGGCATGTCTATGAGTCATAACTAAAATTAGTAAATATTAGAGTTAAATTGTCATAATAATGTCAACTACTTTTTTTTATTTATTTATTTGTAATGTTAAAATGTGTAAATTTTAACTTGTTATAATTGTGCCTTTGTGAAAGATTCTTGATTTTGTCTTTTGTTGTGATTTCTAAGGAAACAAGGATCTTTAAAAAATGAGTAGATAATTTTTTTACATAAAGATAGGTTTTGTTAATATGATTTAGAAACTGAAACCATTTCTTCACCTCTGTTTAGAGAAACTAAAATTGTAACTAAGGGAGACAACACAGCACAGTTAATGAGTCTTGCAGAAAAAGCTTCAAATCTAGATCTGCCACATTATATTGTCCACGATGCAGGTAAAACACAGGTAGGAAAGATCACTGTGTCTAAAATCAAAATATTTGTGTCACCCAGAGGACAGGGATTAATGTATCAGAATAACCAGTGTTAAAGCTGTTAAAGTTTCTGTATTTGTTACAAAAAGACAATGTTTAGAATAGCTGTCCTTTTTTAAAATAAGTGTATACAATTTTATATTTACAGATTCCTTCAGGATCTACCACTGTTTTAGCAATAATGGGTAACCTTGAAGTTGTGGACTCAATTACAGGTTCCCTAAAACTTCTTTAATGACGAAAGGGACATATTATACATGTATAATTTAAATTGAAGCTTCAATGCATGAAAGTACTGGGAATTTCTGCTTGAACAGACTTTTTATATATTTGCTGCCATTTTTTTTGTCATGTTATGCCATAGGCTATCAGTTAATTTAATTATCATTCCTATTAAAGATTCATTGATGTACAGTACAATTTGGCATTCTCAAAAATGTATTTGTCCTTACAGTGTAATTTGTCTTTAAAAGATAGCACATTTTTTATTAAACCATGTCATATAGTGAAATGCTTTACAAAACCAATGCTTTAGGAACATTTCAGTTTGATATTTATATACCTGCATTTATGTAACACCTGAACATTCTTAGAGTATAGAGACTCAAATTCTTAAATTTAACATGTACATTGTAGATTTCAGAGGCCTCACTTGAAGTAATTTCATTGAACCATTTGTTCCTTGGTTGAGTAATTACTCTTTGAAAGCTATTTCTGAATCCCTATAACTATAGCTGATTTTTTCCTGCACAGTTCTGCTTTTACATTTGTGAACATTGTATAAGTGCAGTTGATCTCTTTTGTTGCTATATGTGATATTTATTTTTAGTAAATTCTTGTACATACAGATGTGTACATGTTTTACTGACAACAATAAAGCATTAAAATGTTGCTTATTGTGTAATCATGGTGATTAAAAGCTATGGATTGAATTTACTTTTATTTTCTTTAAGGAAGCTCTTGACACTGCACACTGAAGAGTTCTAATTCCATGGTAGATTTATGCAGTTAAAGTGATCTAACCTTTGAATTTTTAGCTCTTCTGAGCTAAAGACTCAAAGAGCTAATGCTATGGCCATTTGTTAGGTGTGTGTAAACTTTTTAGAATATAGGCCATATTTCAAGAATCCCTTGGCCAATTTTTGTCAAATTTGTCACAGGGCTCTTGTTTATACTAAAACTAGGGACGTGACCCTTAAACGGGGGAGATAATTAGGAAAATAAAAACAAATGTACTGGTTGCTAATAAATCTTCTTCTCAAGAACCACTCGGAAAATTATCATTAAACTTACACACAAGGATGAGGATATGTTTTAAATTACAAAGTGTTCAAGGCCTTACCCTGAGGCAAAGGGCATGGTCTCAAGGTAACTTCAAATTGACCAAAAATTATGTTTTGTTAAAACTTTGATATTTTTCTTACTATAAGGACTAGGATCATCAAATCTTATCGGTTGATGCATCTTAGGATCTCATATCAAATGGGCATGTTGAAGCCTATGGTCATAAAAACTTGTCAGTCAATGCATTATGGGGCCTTAAAGTGTGTCACTAAGAAGTAGGTCACTGTGACCAACTTTTTTTTAATTTTATGGCTAAATTTTTTTCAAGACATTTAAGGTCATTATTTCAAATACTGAGAAGTTTAGAATCACCAGAACTTGTATGTTGATGCATCTTGGGGCCTCCAAACATTTTCATCAAAAGGTAGGTCACAGTAACCTTCTTTCTGAATTTTGCAGGCTTTCATTTTTAGCTCACCTGAGCTGAAAGCTCAAGTGAGCTTTTCTGATTACCCGTTGTCCATCGTCCCTCTGTCCGTCCGTCTGTAAACTTCTCACATTTTCAACTCAAGAACCACTGGGCCAATTTTAACCAAACTTAGTACAAAGCATCCTTGGGTGAAGGGGAGTTTAAATTGTTAAAATGAAGGGCCAAGCTTCCTTCAAAGGGGAGATAATCAAGAAAAGACAAAAATTGGGTAGGGTCATTAAAAATCTTCTCAAGAACCACTGGGCCAGAAAAGCTGAAACTTATGTGGAAGCATCCTGGGGTAGTGCAGATTCTAAATTGTTAGAATCATGACCCCTAGGAGTAGGGCTGGACCACAATAGGGAATCCAATTTTCACATTGAAATATGTAGTAAAAATCTTTAAAAATCTTCTCAAGAACCACTGGGCCAGAAAAGCTGAAACTTAAGCAGAAGCATCCTGGGGTAGTGTAGATTCTAATTGTTCAAATCATGACCCCTGGGGGTATTACGGGGGGGGGGGGGGGGGGAATCGGGTGAAAATAGCAAGGCCAAAGTTACTCAGGTGAGCGTTGTGGCCCATGGGCCTCGTGTTTTAATTGTTTCAGAGGCATATTTTAGACACTTTACGCCTATTACACATGTATCATCAAACTTGTCAGTTGATGCATCCAAAGGCTTCAAAGTATGCCAACCAAAAATGGGTCACAGTGACCTACTTCGGAATTTTATGGCTATATTTAAATACATGTATTCAGATACTAATAGGCATAGAATCATCAAACTTTGTCAGTTGATGCATCATGGATCTTCAGAGTATGTCAACTGAAAAGTAGGTCACTGTGGCCTACTTTTGAAATTTTATAGCTATATTCAAATATTTCAGATATTAATTGGCTAAGAATCTTCAAACTTTGTCAGTTGATGCATCTTGGGTCATTGAAGTATGTCAACTGGAAAGTATTTCATGGTGACCTACTTTTGAAATTTTATAGCTACATGTATATTTAAATATTTCAGATACCAATTGGCATAGAATTATCAAACTTGCAACTTAAGTGTGAAAAATGTGCACATGTGAACGGGGCTTAAAAGGACAAATGACCCTCTGCTCTAAATATCACAATTTTTTTTTAAACTTCCCAACATTGATTTTCATCAAGAGCTATACTATCAGATTCAAATGAAAAATAGTATATGCTTAATTTTCCAGAAATGATTTTTATGTCAGGCCATAATATGATGAAATTTTTACACAGAGAGTAGGAAGAGTAATAATTTATTATCACAACATAAAATTAAAAATATGAGGTGTACATGCATTACTATGAAAATAATATTTAGTATTATACCTATTAAATTCATAGAAAGCATCATAAAGCGCTGCTTTCCAAGTCAGATATCACAATATTGTATGTGCTTGTACAGTTGTAAGAGAATACGTCCATTAGCAAGAGTTATCTTTCTTATAAATAGTTTTCAATGGGAAAAAATGTAATAGTTATAAAAAAAAAGGGGGGGGGGGTCTGCATATGGTACTTGATACATTAAAGCATTTCTTTAAAAATGGTCGATAAAAAAATTAGAACTTAGTACTCAATGTGTAAAGGTTTTAAAACTGGTAATTTCAACTTTTAAGTTGGTTTTTCCAACTTTAAAATTGGTATTTCCAACTTTAAAGTTGGCTTTTGGCTTTTCCAACTCAGTCTCCCCGAAGTATACTCTCTTTAGAGAAGTTGACAGGCTCTCGCCTACATCTATATGATGTGGATATAGGCGAAAGCCTTTCAACTTTTCTAAAGAGAATACCCGAAGTATAAAACCTCAAACTTTTGTCCAGTCAATGGAATAGAAGCGCTCGGTTGAACTGTCGGAGCCTCAAAATCCGGAAACATGGGAGTTCTCCTGGACGGTTCTCGCATTAACCATTCGGTAAGTGATTCCGGTGCACACCTTATTGATGGCATAAAATTTAATCTGATAAATTGGTCAGTTTAAGGTAATTATTAATTTAAACTGCATATGAATTTGAGATTTAATTTTTTTTCTTGCTAAAAATGTCTATTGTTTAAGTAGCTCCAAATTATAATTAATTTGGAGGAGAAAAATGGAAAAGGTCCATATCTGATATCATCATCTGGATTCGGCTAATTCGGCGTACCTTTCAATTTTTACGAAATTTGAAGTCTTGAGATTAAAGAAAACATATATTAAAATTATTGAAATCATGCATTAAGTTTATATCCTCATTACATCCCCAATAAAATAATTTAAGCCTGGAAGAGAAAACACGTCACTATAAATGTGAGTATTCAGATTCATGTACCTCTGCTTTAATTTTATGTCATTTCATATAGGTATGTCAAATGCCTTTCATTTGGTGCTGGTCACTGTACTTGATGTTAATGACTCACAGTTTTTGTATCCAAGTTGTGAGAAGTGTTACTCCAAACTGACTGAAGATGGAAACTTAAGGTATGTCCAGTTCTTATTCAGTGCTAGTTTTGGAAGACAGATATCATAAAATAGTCAAAACAAATTCTAATCTGTTGATGATGTGACCATTAGAGCGAGGTCAGATACTTTTCAGTTTTCATTACTTAGATCGGACTCGTCAAACCGCATGTGACATTTGCTACGTATAGACTCTGACGTCATATGACATCGTATGTACATGTATGTTGCAATAGCCTACCAAAACGAAGTGTGAACAGTGCTAATTTAAACAAGAATGTTTATTCTTCTATCTGTCTGCTATATATCCATTATATCAAAGGTGATTTTATTTTTTGTTGAATTTTATTGCTACTGCGAGAACGTAGTTTCTGACGAGATGCAATTCACTAAGCATTATGGGACCACAGGTAACTGTGGAAAAAAATTCATTTGGATCAGTGTGCAAAGTCCGAATTTTCTCTTCGCCCAGGCGTTGCTGTAAGAACTCGCAGTGATGAGCGGCACTTTGCATTTCAGCAAAGCCTTTGTTTATCTGCGATATCATATTTGTTGGGAAAAAATAAGATGTACCAAGGGAGAAAACTTTTATAGGTTTAACTACACAATGTGAAGTAATATAATAGTAATATATATTTATTTAATGTACAGTGTATTAAGACTCATAAATAATTTTGTACTCTTCATTGACTTAATTCAGTTAAAATTATTCATGAAATTGTTACAGGTGGCTTTGTTTGAAATGTGGCTCAGAATGTATGGAAGAAAAGCTGATCTGGAGGTTTCGTCTCTCTCTCAGAGTTAGTGATGTGTCAACTGTCTGCAATGTATGTGTTTTTGGAGCATCTCTGAACCAGTTCTTTGGAGACAATGCATTCAAATTTCACAGGTAAACTTTATAGGGATATTAAGTAGAAATTGGTAGAAAATGTCTTCTTTAAGTAATAGTTATTGTATATTTATTATGGTGTATCCTGATTTATTTGGACGAAGGGTGGTGACGAGTGCGTAGCACGAGTCTCCGCCCCTTCGTCTAAATTAATCAGGATACACCATAATAAATATTCAAAAACTTTCTTGTATCATGGCCAATCAAAACATCAATAATTGTCATGTCACAAATTTTCAAGCATGATTTTTAATTACACCAATAAAAAATATAGTTTTTGTCAGGTGACCACATGGATATTCTCTCCTTCCCGTCAGTATTTTTTAATTCGCACATTTAATGTGTGTGTTCATGAGAAAGGACGTCGGATTGCAGCTTTCCAACTTAATATAAAAACGGATTGTTAATGAAATTCATAAGAAAACCTTTGGATATCAATGATGAAGAAGGGAAATTCAGGTGTTAATCAAAAATCAAGAAAAAAGATACCCGTTGATCATTTGACATATTCGAGAGCTGTGGCATGAATGCTGTGTCAGGGTCAATAACTCTTCATCTATGAGTGCAGTCAGCTGAGATTTATTCTATTTAAGCAAAGAACACAGCAAAGATGGTATATCCTGCTAAAACACTCTATTACAATAGGTGTGATATTTTAAGATATGTATTTTTGGAATTCATGTCAAGAACTTGATTTCTAGTTGCGGTGGATTGAATACCGGTATTTGCAGAGTTCCGTAAAAGCATTCCGTATTTTGGGATACATGTGCACTGTAATTTATGTGAAAGACCTTTATTTCATTGGCAGAAATTTTGTCTTTGTATATAACAAAGCCCATGTAATTCTGTAATTCAGATTCAATATACATGTACATGTAATTTAAATGCTGAAATCGCCTTGGTGTTCAATAATTTATTTACACGGCACAGTTTTTGCTGGCTCCGCCCATTGGTGTATCTCCAGTTATTGTACACTTTACTTCAAAGGAAAAACACCACAGCCATGGTACAATTAAGTTTAGCAGAAGTACCATAATTAAAAGTGAAAAAGAACATGTGTGTTATGTATAATTTCTGCTTTTCAGATAAGACTTGTGTCAACATTCAATTAAATGTTCATCTTGATTACTTCTGAAATATTTTCAGAAACTTTAAGAAATTATCAACTGAGCAGAGCAATGCAGAAGAAATTGTGCTTGGGGCAGTGCAGGAGGTTTTTGTTGGCAATTCATTTTATCTTGGGATGAGGTGTGGATTACACAGAGGTGGAAGACCTATTACTTTGTCAGACATTGTGAAATATTCTAATTATGAAAGCCAAGCCTATACACAAGACACTGACAATTCAGGATTATCACTAGTGGCGAATCAGATTGTTCCTGTTGTGGGTAAATCTAAAACAGATGTCTCCTCCATAGTTAGGGCTTTTATAAAAGCACCAGACAGAAACATAATAAATAGCACTGCCACATCTATAGAGAAAACAACCCCTTATAGATATTTTTCAGTTGTACCAGAGAAATTCAAGCAAGAAGAGAGTGTAGGGTCCTCAACACTCACCCAACCTACTCTCTGTTTCAGCTGTGATTCAGGAGACCAAAAGAGCTGTGAAGATTCCAAATTCACAAGTCAAGGATCAAATCTGACAAATGGGTCAGTACTAGTTCAACATCAGTCAGTTAATGATGACATTGTTCCAAAGTTTACAAGTAATGGTATTAGACAATTGGAAGAAGAGAATAACCCATGCTTACATCTGAAGGAATCTAACAGCCAGCAATTGAACAGTGAACAAGTTAAACCATCAACAACTAATTACTTAGATTCCTTTAGTTATAAAGAAAATATCTGTATTTCAAAGAGAAATGATAAGAGTAGATCAGAATGTGTTTTATCTTCAGAATCAATGGTAGATGCTTCCTGTGATTTATTTGACTCCACGTCACCACTTGACATAAGGTCAAAGAGCTCTCCCCTTATAAGCCCATTTTCTGTGTGCAAGAAATCTGCAAAAAGCGGTACAATAGAGCATTCAAGGCTGGGTTTTCCTTTGAAAGAGAACAGTATTCAAAAGAAATGCCTTCAGTTTCAGAAGCATGAAGTACAAAATGAGAGTGTCCTTTCTCAAGAAATGTTTACCCCTAGTCCAATTTACAGAGTTGAGTCTGCCAGAAAACTTCTAAGCAGTGTAAAACATTCGAGTCTGAAAAGAATTTCTTCATCAAAGTACTTAAGTTTGCTCAGGAAAAAACCATTAAATGTATCATCACTTTGCTTTGACCTGTCAAAAGATACTGGCAAAGAAGTTCATTTGTTTTCAGAGGCATCTAAAGAAACTGAATCACCTTTGCTATTCTCTGAAAGTAGCAGTAACATTTCACTTGCTTCACCAGACTTTGGTTATAAAGACAATTTCAGAATTTGCCCTGGATTTTTGTCACCTGATATATTTCAATCCACCCCTGATGATGGTAGTCACAGCTCCATAAAATCCACCATTTTATCTCCATGTCTAGTGAAACAGCTGTTCAAAGAATAAACTTTCAGGAATTTTACCTATTGAAAAGAATCTTGGATTATTGGATTATTTTCAGATTCATTCTGTATACAATGTTAAACAACAGTAAAGGTCAGAAGCCAAGGCTTGTATTTTAGACAAGGGGCTTGAAAACCATCCCCTTTTGTAACAGTTTAAGATTGCAATTCAACAATTATATTTTCTACAGAATGTGCTTAAATGTACATTGTCATTGCTTTTCATGTTGATGAAACTATGGAAGCAAGTTTTAATATTTTATACCTTTTTCTTGAAGAATTTTTTTATGTTTATTTGTTTGTAGTCGAATGTTTCAAATGATTTATGAATATTCCTTGCTTTACAGTAAAATAATTTATTATTTATACATGCATTGTTTATTTAATGGTGTAGTTAATACAGAAATATTTTTGGAGTGACTGTCTATTTCATTAAACCAAAGAGGAGGGGAAATAGCCTTAAACATTTTTAACGTTCTTAATTGGGTCTCACCATTATACTCGAAATTTCAAAATTCGACATCAAATTTACACAATAACAAAATTATATTTATAAAAGCAAGCAAAAATAAACATTTCATTAAATGAGAGTAACCGACCAAATCTCCATATGACCAAATAAGATTTTAAGAATGGATTTGTCACAAGAAGAAATGGCACTTTGGGGGGAAAAAAGACAAGAGAAAACAATGCACACTATTAATTACGGAAAGGAAAATCCCTACTAAACATCGCAGGGGTGTTCCAGGAGGTCTCCAAAGACTACCACCCCATGTCACCGACGATCCACGAACGGATAGGTCATTCTCAGTTATTATCTTATGTATGATCCACAGATACCCCTCGACGGTTTCAACTTTCAGAAAAAGATCTTGAACACTGCTGATTGGTTCGAGAATAAAGTTATGTAATTTTAAAACCTAAATATTGATTAAACGAGTTAATTTTGTTTAAATATATATCTGTATATTCTTTCCCAGTTGTAATCATGTATAATTCATTTGTCTAGATTAACAATAGGCCATTTAGATGATTAGAGTGCATGATATATATGCTTCGGTCTTTTTAAATCCCTCCAGGTGTAAGCTACCGATACACGCAATCCTAGTTACCGTCTGCTCGTGTCACGCGGGATTCCTGGCAGACACTGGTTGTCTTTGGTAATAGTTCCAGAGTCTGGGAATTGAAATTTTGAGGGAACTTTGAATATGGCGCAGGAATTATTACCCGAGGAGAAAAGCAAGATTGTTGAGTAAGATTTCTTCTTTAAATTATCAATATTTTTTGAGACTTGGCTTATCGTAAGAACATTTACTTTCGTCTTATCGTTGGCTTAGAAGATAAAATTTCTGTGAAACCGATTGCAATATATGACAAAAACATTGATCACTACTTCATTACCATTTTGTTGTTTTAATTCTTTATCAGGGGAAGCATTTTAATTTTTTTTAACCAAATATTGTCGAATAAGTGATTTATTAAATGTTTATACCAATTTATATAGTTATAATGGGCAACAACACCCTACCCAACCCAACCCACCCCGCCATGTTCCTGAAATAATGATAATAGCTGAGAAGGTTTTGGATCTCATTGAAAATCATGTAATTACAGAGGACAAGATATATATCAATGCATTTCTAAAGTTTCTTTAATAGATTCCTATTTGTCCGTCGTCGTCATAAAGTTAATATGTTGAGAAACGCTTTGTGATCCCTTTGAGTAACTCGGAAATTATTTTTATTGATCTAGAGAAATAATGCATTATGCATGGCCTGTGCATTTCTGTTTACCTTTTGAAATACTTCTTTTTAAGCCCAAGCATTATAAGTTAGAATTAAAGCTTTTTATTAATCAGATATGTAGTAAAAAGTTCACGCATGTTGTTCTACCTAATTGAATAGGTTAGATAAAGACTAACCATGTATAATTTATCATGTATATTGTTTAAAACACCAGGGTAGTATTAACAGTAAAACGTCTTACACACTCTTAATCTTATTTCCTCTCCTGTAGTGCTCATATCCCTAGCCAAAAACTATTTAATGTTCTTTTCATAAATGACTTTACTAGTGTTTACCTTTTTGATTGGCATGTTGAATGAAATCTAAGATTGGCGATTAAGACTGTGTCGAGTTCCATGGGGTAGAAATCATCAATAGGCGCTTTAATAAAACATATCAAGTTTAGCTCATAGCATTACAACTATAGGTTTGTTATTATTTTGACATATAAGTAGTTTTAAAAGGTGGCAAAAAATATTCTCGTTATACATCAAGTATAACCAATTTGGTGGGGGGGGGGGGGGGGGGCATTTCCAAAGATCTAAGTAAACGAGAGAAACATTAGCGTAAGGACATACGCAATGTAGTTTGAACTTTATTGGCTTTTCTCTGCATGGAGTTGAAGAGTTCCTACATGTATACATAAAGCAACTGTGTGCTACATTTTTATGTCTATATATGCTGTTGACCAGGTCTAAAACAAGTTTGGATAAACAAAACATCTTGAATATATGCTTAGTAATTTTTGTGTATTTTCTTTCAATTATACAAGAATTTTCATCAGTTGATATCTTTTCAAAACCCCTGGTAATGCATGCATATTTTTGGTCTCCGAAAATCTGATGGCGTTTTAATCTAAAGAAAATATCTTGAAAATTATTGGTAGGTAAGGTACGTTGCGTATGTCCTTAAAAACAGAGACAAAACACGAGACTAATCCAGGGCCGTCACCAAGTTCCGGGAAAGGGGTGCGAAGGAAAGTCACTTCCTCTGAACCAGAATTTTTTCATAAATGGGGCACAGTTTTAGTGGGTTCTTGCCATTCTTTTAAATATTAAATAATCAAAATGTAGCAGCATTACTTTTAACAGGTAAATATTAAATCTGTCTTTAAAATAATATTTTTTGAGTATTCGTTTTATTTTTAAAGGGTGCGAACGCAACCAACCTCCAATCCCCACCCCCGTCGGCCTTGTATTCACCTTGTCAATCAGAAATGCAAAAGTTTCAATTAATATACAACGTGTATACACTACATGTTTAAGAACTTTGTCAATTTGTCATCTTATTTGCCCCCTCCCTTTTTTGTGCAAGCCTTATTCTGCCTACCTCCTTTGTGGGGTCCATTTTTTTCATTCAATTCTTAGTTTATGTGGCCCTCATTTGAAAAGTGGATCATGATCTTAGTTGAATATCACATCTGAAATACGATGTATAAATGTGTATTTTTATCAATATCTGTAGTACAGTTCAAAGATATGCAAAACAAAAATATAATTTTCAAATTAACTCTTAATTTCAGAGAGCTGAAACCAGCCGTACAAGATTACAGTCACCAGGACAGTTTATTCGGGGTAATTAGAACTTACAAATCAAAACACACCTGCAAATATGAGTTATTGAATTACTGAGTATTCAACTTGCTGTATGACATTATTTTTCTGTCAAATCTAGAATGCGTTCTCATCAAAGGCCTACTTTATTGTTCACCCAGAATGGCTATCAGAAAATGTTGATCCACCCAAATCTCAGCCACTGCCAAGAAAACCGTGGCCCTGGGAGCAACCCAAATATCGACAGAACGTCCAGCGATATGTCAACGGAGAGATGACCCCTGATACCTCAACAAATGGCCAGAATTCACCTGCTCCAGAATTCGATATTCCAGAACCGGGCTATTCATTTACCCAACCACTGAAAGGTGACTACGAATCAGAAATATTGGACAGAAAACCTGAGCTGGATTTAAGTACGAAACGTTTGTTTTAATTATTCAGTAACAAAAAGTTATCCACCACGAATGTCTGACTAAAATGAATGGTGATCGATCAAGGACTCCATGGCAAACTCATATATTACTTAGCAAGGCTCACGAACAGACCAACATATACAAATGCTGCTATGCTAGATGTTAGGTACCGCTTCCAGTATTATATAAATGTATGACAGTTATGTGTGCAATGAATAATTTATTTTCACGTTAGTAAACTATCATATTGATACATGTATGTGTCCATTCTTTAGATAATGCATCGTATATCTATGAAATATTAAGATAATGAACAGTGATCGTTTTCAAATCAAGCCCATTTAAGGAAGCTTTAAACACTTACAATTTTTTTTTTGGACTTTGATAAAATTATGTCATATTTATAAAGGGTGTACATAGGGAGTTTATCTAGTTCATTTTCAACATAAGGTACCTATGCTATATTTACCCCATGTACGAAGCCAGTGAAGCCTTAGTGAACAGAAATTAGTGCTACTTACTTACATTGGGAAAATGTATGCAAATAAGTTATTTAATTACTTTATCTTTGTCTTATATAATGTTAAGAATACATTCATCGAGTACAAATTGCGTCCTTCACTGTATATATCTACATCTAAAGGCAGATCACTTAACTGCAGTATCATGAACTACACCATGGACTTAGCAAACTTCAGTAAGCAGTTTAATTAAAAGCAGAGCTACCACGGTCCTCTGAAAAAAAGAGTTGCATGGGACCAGGTGCCCCGGAGCATGTCGGAGGAGTAAGCATCTCCTAGCTGTCGACCGATGACACCCGCCATGTGCCCTTGTCATTATTGGATAAACAGGAAAATCCGTAGACAATTCAATGTGAAAATAATGGCCTAATAATTTGTATGAAAGACGTCAATCAACACTCAACCTAACCGACGGATCGTATTTCCAAACTAGATCGCATCAACCATAGAAGTGTTGACTTTAAATGAGATTGTTAATATCTTTGTATCAAATTATTTGTCAATAGCCTACCTAATTTTAGAAATTGTTCGTACGTAGAACATGCTCTTGTGTATTGAATCAAATGGGATCGAGACATGAGCTCCATTTAAGTAGGTGATATTGCTACATAAATACGGGGAATTAAATTGACGATAGAAAAGTGTAAGTCATCACGTTTATCATATAGTTTAGTTATTAATTTGTCATCATAGTCTTTCTCTAGTAAAATATCCAAATATGAAATAGATGTTTTAGAGTCTGTAGTCGTCGATATATCTAAATGTCAAATTGAAGGTCCCAACAAGAGACTTCTTTTCATGTAGAAGTTTTTGAATAAATGTTGCTTCTTAAGAATACAAAAACAAGTCTGCTAATAATGGGACACAATTAGTACCCATGGGAATTCCAAAAGATTGTTGGAAGACCTGTTATGCAAAAACTACATATTGTCAATGACCTTTTTAAGGACCTTCTATATACACTGATGAAAAATGTTTTTTGGACTTTGAGAAAATTACATAGTGTAAAGGGGGGTATTCTGAACTTAACTCACTCATTTTTTAATATAGGTAGCGTGCTTTTTTTATCCGGGAAAAATCTCCAAAGACAATGGAGTAATGATAAAGAAAAATTGCTTTTGCTTACTCAAGTGGAGAAAATACATGCAATTAAAGTTTTCAACTATTCTATTTTGGTCTAATAAATGGTTTAGAATACTTGGATTTATTTTAAATCATGTCACACAGTAAGGTCTACAATTTATTCCTTGTTATGTCAAATGGTGGGTCAGTCTAACTACACAAAGGTAACCTGAAATTATGGTGCAGTGTAGAGAGGGTCCTTAATATCAACCTTGTGTGTAGAATCAGAATATTTTCAACGAAATATCTGAAGATGACCAATAACAAAGTAGGTATACATGTATTTTATTGTAGAAGCAGTTGTCTATGATGTCAAAAAAAGTCTGGTCTTTAATTTGTCATGAGAATGGTTGTATGAGATGTTGATAAGTTATATGTTTTGATGCTATTGATTTTGGTAAAATTTTGTTTTCAAAATTTTCTATAAGTTCCTTGGAGTTAAGTATCCACATTTGAATAACACCACTTGTCAAATATGTTGTTGTACAGTACATCTGAAGTTTGTCCTTCACTGCTGACATTTTTGTAAGGAGTAAAGAAAGAGATTTGGTAGAACATTTATTAGAACCTGCTATGTGTCGGTCTTTGTGAGGATTTTTAATGAAGTTGAGGAATCCAGTATACATTTGGTGATTCAGAATAATTATAATAAGCATAGAGTATATAAAAAAATCTTAAATTCATATTTGGATATTTTACTAGAAAAAGACGTTAATGGTAATCTAACAACCAAGCTTTATAATAAATGTGATGACTTTAACAGCAATACCTTCATCACCTGCATATGGGTTTATATCTCTCAGCTGATTCGATACACAAGAGCATGCTCTACGTATGAACAATTTCTAAAACGAGGTAATTTCATTCTACGTATTTATTTGAAAGCATGACCCAATTCACTGCTGGCAGGATGAACTGACACGGGTCAGTGTTGTAAAGGTTGCTTGTCTCAGTTTCAGCATAAAATTTTTCATCTGTGACAACAAACAAGTTTCATTTTTCAACACAGTTACCAAACTCTTCACAAATATTTCTTTACATATATTTCTTTGAAGCAATTTATGCTGCAATTTTTTTGTCAGAATTTTTTTTTTGTAAAACTGTTTACAATTTGGATGGCAAAAAAAAAATTATTATTTATATAATCCTATATATCCCGTAGTTCGAAATTCTTTCTTCTGATAAAGTCTGTCTTACTTACCATAAAGGTTTAATTGAATTTCATGCAGAATTATCATAAAAGCACATTTTTCCAGCAAAATAAAATGCTCAGAAATACAGCTCACATTGCTTTTAAAAGCACCAAAATAATATGAAATAAAATCTCAAGGAAGACTGGATATGAACATGAACAGTTTTTTATTTTTTCAATGTTGTCATGCACTGATGTTACAGTGATAAAAATCTATTATGCAATTTAAACAAGTTGAATGCCCTTTATTAAAATGGCATTGGTCGTTCAAACTATTGACACCCCCTTCCCCAAATAACCACACCCATCAACTTCGAATTTGTTTTCTTGTCATTCAATGCCCAAAAAAAAATGGTGTATTGACATTCTGATATCTTGGACAGAAACATAAAATTATTTCAAAAATCACCCATAATAAAAAATTATGTATAGCAAGGAACATTAGGTATTATTACAGAATGCCTTCTGTAAATTTGATTGTCTTTATCAATACTTACATTAGAGCATATTAGATAACAAAAACAAAAACAACATTGCATTCATACCCCAAAAAACATAATCTTACAACCTTGATAAATGGACACGTTTCTAAATTTTAATCAAAAATTTTTAAAAATTTTTAGAAAAAGCATGAAAAAACTTCCAGCGAATGAAATATTTTTTTTTTCAAAATAATTTGGCTATCATACCTGAGACATTAAACATCAGGGATGTCTGATTATATCTGGACAGACTTTTAAAAATAACATTAATTTTAAAGGTTTATATAATTAAATACCATAAAATAATCTTTTTGGGGGGTACAAAATGGTAAACAAAGAAAATAGGCAAATTTGGTGTAGGAAATGCTTATAGCAAATCAAATTCAATTTGTGAAGTAAGTATTTAGAGCAAAGTTCCTCTTATTGAAAGGTATGTAATTATGATAAAACTTTTCAACAATAAAAAAAAAAATTGTGGTTTTCTTGGGGTTGGAACCCAAGCCATAAAAATCCCAAGTACAAAACTTTTCGTAAGAGTGTACAGACAAACTAACCACTTACAAAAACTCACATTCAGAGGTGGCATTTTAAATCTCATTAGTGTTATGATACCTGAATAACTTGACTTCAAATATTTCTTGGGAAGATGCAACTGTTGCATCATACATGAATTTCTTTTTTTAGGTACATTGGGTCATTGCTCCATGTTTTTGTTATAAACCAAAAAAAAAAATGTTTTTACACATACTTTGAAAAGAGTGAAATTTTTTATAGTACGAAAAAATGATTATTTTGCTCTCTTTGTTATGTACATTATATTTCAATCATACACATATAATTTCAATACTTGTGAGATTATTGCCAATTCTGGAGATTTTATATAAAGTACAGTGTAGCTTCACTATTCCAGATTCCAATAATCCGAACACTTCAACTTCTGGGAAAATTTTGTAAGGAACAATTTACATTCAAATATACAAATTATGTTTCAGTAATCAACACATTTCATTGATTCGGAAAATTTGCTCTGGAACACAAGCCTCCACATTAATGAGGTGCAACTGTATAAATTAATGTTAATTGAAATATCAAGGAAAATTTTGTAAAATTGAGATATTTAATTTTTATTTGTTGAACAAAAGGCATTTTTCTCAGCTTATTTGCCCATTTTCTTAAAGTCTCTCATGTCATGACAATTCAGGTAAAAGAAAATTGATAAGGTGACAAGCATGAATAGATTTTCAACACTTATCATTGTAACGTTTAAACAATTTAATATGACTAGAATATGAATTTACTAAAATACTCCCTATCAATCATTTATGGAAAGAAAATGGCACATTTTACAAATAAATACATACATGTATATGGTTATTGTACTAAACAGAAAAAACCCAGCAACCATTGATTTATGTGCATCAAAATACAAAACACAAAAAGTTGACTACTGCAAATAACTTTATGTTAAAAAAAAAAAAGAATTAAACTATGCTTGCCAGCAAACATATTTTGCAGTATCTTGAAAAAAAAATTACAATTTACACCTTCAGGTGTGTAAGAGTTTACAAAATATCATTTTTGGGTTTACTTATGGCACTTGATACAAAAATACTGGTCATACTTCTTTAATAAATAGCTAGTAACAAACATCAGATAAAAACAGTTAAGTACATATATGTTGTTAAATCTCAATCTTTTGTTTTCGATCTCCATTTATTCTTTCTTGTCCTTGCGTCGAAGTGTTGAAACTGATGGTACTTTGACATGACTGACTACAGAAGACCCGACATCGTAGGTTTTTCCTGCAACCCATTTCACACTACCTACCCCATATCCTACAGCCCCCGTGGCTGTGTTATACAGACCAGAAGACATCTTCCATAATAAGCCACTCTTTGATCCCTGATCTGAAATTTCAAGTTTTGAAGTACATGGGATTTTTAAATATTAACTTCTTTAATTTATATTATAACCCTTTGCTCTGTAAACTAAAATTTTCAGCATTTTTGATGACTGTTTATGAACAAGAGATGTTTTTGAAACACTTATCCCCCCCCCCCCCCCCCCAAATAATTGGAATTTTTCAAAGTCCAAGGAGAATAATTCTGTGAAAAATTGCTCGATCGTACCCAAAACCAGAACTTGACCTACATATTTTTATGATTAATCTGTATACAAAATTTCATTTCAGTATGTGCAACCTCTGTGAAGAAAATTAACGGAAACTGCAAATAATTGGAATTTTCCTAAGTACAAGGGACATAACTCTGTCAAAAATTGCTTGATCATATCCAAAACAGAACTTGACCTAGATATTCTTATGATAAATCTGTATACAAATTTTGTTTCAGTATGTGCAACCTCAGCAAAGAAATTGAACAGAAACTTGGTGGACCGACAGACAGACAGCAGCAAAGCAATATGGCCTCCCTTCTTTGCAGGGGGCATAAAAATATATCAAAATTAGAAATATGTCCATAGGACATGAATGCCCCACCCAGGGTTCATTAGTAATGCAACATGAAAATTTGTTCAAGTGTATGAAGTTTGATGAAAATATCTTTGAAACTGAGCTAAACATAAATTTGAGAAAGGTGAGATCAAAGACACAAGAAAAGGTAAAGAATGTTGATGCAATTGAATAGCTCTCATCAATATATATAAGTATATAATTAAAAGATCGATAAAAATATCATGAATAGTTCGTTTGAAATTGAGCTAAATACAAATTTGAAGTCAAGGTCAAAGAAAAGTTCAAGTCAGATGTGCTGATGCAGTTGAAAGCTTTCACCAATATGTATCACCATATTTTTTTATGCCATTAAATTTTCACTAATTCTTAAATATCTTCCCTTGAAAGAGGGTGTGGCATTTGAACAAACTTGAATCCCTTTCATCCAAGAATGCTGTGTGCAAAGTTTGGTTGAAACTGGCCTAGTGGTTCTGGAGAAGGTGATATTGTAAAATATTTACAACAACCACAACAATAATTACTACAGACAACAGACGGATTTTGATCAGAAGAGCTCACTTGAGCTCAAGTGAGCTAAATATTGTAGTAATTTCTGCATGTTACTGACCTGGGACTTCGTCTGTCTTTTTATCACACTGGGTTTGTACAGTTTCACTTTCCTTGATGTCATCAGCCTTCACAGTTTCTCCCCCTGAGTCAGGATCCTCCTCCGTTATAACACCTGACTGTGGCACAGGACTCTATACAGAATTGTATATTAATTACTTACCACTGCATATCAAAACAATGTATGTGCTTGTTATTTTCAGGCTTTTCACTTTTACTTTCAGATGATTTTTCTTCAATATATCTGGCCAAATTAACAATGAATATTTAGTTACGACATAGTTGTTGTACAATTAATAATACAATGAAACTTCTCAACATTTCCACCCACTGAAAACCAGCATCCTGTCAAGACCAGCATCTTTTTTTCAACCACATGTAAAGGGAATGTCTGGTCAGAATTCTAATTTCTGTATATAAAACCTCACCTCTCATATAAAAAGAAAAGCACCATCTCAACACTGATCTGTTGATATAAGCAGTTAAATTTGATATTGACTGCTAAATTGGAGCAGTATGGAGAAATCCTCATCATGGTCAATGATGACATAGTGGAGGCACATCAAATATCAGATATATTCAATCAATACTTTTACGGTTCCAGAGTAATAAGTTCAATTCCTTGCATTAAACATAAGCTTTCGGCCAGGTATATTTTTTATCATTAAAACCATGTATCTTAGATACATTTTATCTTTAAAACATAGGTAATCAAAGATTACGAAGCTCACCTCGACGAAGGCTATCTATAAGTAAGGCAAATCTCACATCATATTTTTTATAGTTAGTGTTCATCCCAAGATCAATATCCATACAAGTTTGGTTTAAGAAGGACTTATAGATACTTGGAAATAGACCTGCTCAAAAAAACTTCTAACCTGTTTACTAATCAAGAAAATTTTGGACAGTTCCAACATCCAAAGCAAGTCTGGAAGTTTTCATCCTTAGATGTACCATCCAAGCTGTTTAATCATAACATGCCATAATATTATATAGCTACTCCAAAAACATTACTCTGGTCACCCATCTGGAAAATGTAGGTCAGATTCAGAATCCAAAACAAGTATGAAAGTGTCCATCCTAAGATACATCATCCATGCTAATTTGATTAAAATATGGCTAAAATTCACTCATCTGGAAAATCTAGGTCAGATTCAGCATCCGAAGCAAGTGTGGTAGTGTCCATCCCTAGATGCATCATCCATGCAAGTTTGGTCCAGGTAGGGCTTATAGTTACTTGGGAATAGACCTGCTCCAAATATAGGTCAGATCCAGCATCCGAAGCAAGTGTGGTAGTGTCCATCCCTAGATGCATCATCCATGCAAGTTTGGTTCAGGTAGGGCTTATAGTTACTTGGGAATAGACCTGCTCCAAATATAGGTCAGATCCAGCATCCGAAGCAAGTGTGGTAGTGTCCATCTCTAGATGCATCATCCATGCAACTTTGGTTCAGGTAGGGCTTATAGTTACTTGGGAATGGACTTACTCCAAAAACTTTAACCTGGTCTATCATCTGGAAAATCTAGGTCAGATCCAGCATCTGAAGCAAGTGTGGTAGTGTCCATCCCTAGATGCATCATCCATGTAAGTTTGGTTCAGGTAGGGCTTATAGTTACTTGGGAATGGACCTGCTCCAAAAACTTTAACCTGGTCACTCATCTGGAAAATCTAGGTCAGATCCAGCATCTGAAGCAAGTGTGGTAGTGTCCATCCCTAGATGCATCATCCATGCAACTTTGGTTCAGGTAAGGCTTATAGTTCCTTGGGAATGGACCTGCTCCAAAAACTTTAACCTGGTCACTCATCTGGAAAATCTAGGTCAGATCCAGCATCTGAAGCAAGTGTGGTAGTGTCCATCCCTAGATGCATCATCCATGCAAGTTTGGTTCAGGAAGGGCTTATAGTTACTTGGGAATGGACCTGCTCCAAAAATTTTAACCTGGTCACTCATCTGGTAAATCTAGGTCAGATCCAGCATCTGAAGCAAGTGTGGTAGTGTCCATCCCTAGATGCATCATCCATGCAAGTTTGGTTCAGGCAGGGCTTATAGTTACTTGGGAATGGACCTGCTCCAAAAACTTTAACCTGGTCACTCATCTGGAAAATCTAGTTCAGATCCAGCATCTGAAGCAAGTGTGGTTGTGTCCATCCCTAGATGCATCATCCATGCAAGTTTGGTTCAGGTAGGGCTTATAGTTACTTGGGAATGGACCTGCTCCAAAAACTTTAACCTGGTCACTCATCTGGAAAATCTAGGTCAGATCCAGCATCTGAAGCAAGTGTGGTAGTGTCCATCCCTAGATGCATCATCCATGCAAGTTTGGTTCAGGTAGGGCTTATAGTTACTTGGGAATGGACCTGCTCCAAAAACTTTAACCTGGTCACTCATCTGGAAAATCTAGGTCAGATCCAGCATCTGAAGCAAGTGTGGTTGTGTCCATCCCTAGATGCATCATCCATGTAAGTTTGGTTCAGGTAGGGCTTGTTGTTACTTGGGAATGGACCTGCTCCAAAAACTTTAACCTGGTCACTCATCTGGAAAATCTAGGTCAGATCCAGCATCCGAAGCAAGTGTGGTAGTGTCCATCCCTAGATGCATCATCCATGCAAGTTTGGTCCAGGTAGGGCTTGTAGTTACTTGGGAATGGACTTGCTCCTAAAACTTTAACCTGGGACGCCGACGCCAACGCCGGGGTATAGCATAAGCTCATCTCGACTTCGTCGAGGTGAGCTAAAAGTTGGAATTAAAATCAAGTGAAAAATACAAACTTTTCAAATTTCACCAATTTTGGAAAGATATAAGTGCATGTCATAATTAATTTCTTCTTTTATTTTCCTCAATTCTATTCAGATTCACAATGAAAATGCAAGCACTTAATTGGCACATTTCCACTACTTGATTCTAACATGATAGTGTTTACACTTAAAGCCAATGTGCCTGAAGACATCATGAAAGAAGGGATTGTGGGAAATATTTAGCAAGCAGGATAACCAATTGGCACCCCTCAGCTGATTCGTACTTCATTGATGGAGGCGACGGAGTCATCCGAGGTTTGTCGAAAGGCACGATAACTTTATCTCTCAGTGTGGCAGCCTCTAGCAGTCTAACTGTGTTTAATTACTTCATGTATATATAATTAAGTAAAAACAAAGGACAGTATCAGGTAAAATTTATCAATGACCATCAAATGAATGAAACATCAAAAAGTTACTGCAAAATCAATAATTTTCATTGAGGGGTTAATTTTCATAGTTTTCACGGTATGAAGAGGCCCCCAAATTCATGTCCACCATGAAATGAAAAATGTCATATACATAACTACTCAACAATTCTTCATCAGCGAAATCAAATCCCCACAAACCCCTAGTTGTTCCTCAAACCACAGAAATTTGGCCCCAAGAAAATATGTGATTTTACAGTATTCTAGAAATATTTGATATCTATGCATCTTACAAGGAGTTGTGTCCCTTGTCACTATTTATTTATTGTGTAAAAGTATGAATTACCGGTATTTCCCTAAATCTTAACTCCCAATTTAACAAACTTGAATACCCCCTCCACCAAAGCTTACAACTTTTTTTCAAGTTTGGTTGAAATTAACTTATTAAGTTGGTTAATTAAAGAACATTTTGAAAAGTTAACAGAAAAAGGACTTTAATGGAAGTAGAAAGATGACGGACAAATATTAATCGAACTTTAAGCTCACTTGAGCTTTTCTCCAAGGTGAGCTAAAAAGCACCTGTAGATGTATTGAGTCTAACGGTAAACACTGGTAAAAGGGAGTGCGTACTTTAACAAAGTTTTTGAAGATGATATGAAGGTAGCCTAATTCATATATTCATGCAATTTCATAACCACTTACCTTGAATACACATTGTTGAATGGTCTGGATTAATGCAGACATCTTTATGCATCAGACCCTCTCGCAACTCAACAGATGAAGCGCCAAAACGTCAACAATGGATGCTGAGTAAAATGCGTCTCTCTAAAAGCATCGGATTAAAATGTTTCCGCAGTTGATAAAATATCATTAATCGTTTAAAATATTTAGAGAAATAATGCAAATTCCATGAAATTAAAACTTCAGTTTAACCCACCTCAGACGCGGGACAGGGAAAGACTTGTTAGAAACTCCTTTCACGGGACAGAACTTTTTGCATCCATTAGCCTTACCTGCCACGTTGTTTACTCAGCTGAAAAGTAGGCCAGTGTTATGAAAGAAAGGTTTTCATTGGATGATTCACTATCCAACAAGTCGTTGAGTAAAAGATGCAGTTCGCAGGGGGGGGTGGGGGGGGGGGGGGGTAAGGGGGTCACACTGGTCGTATCTCATGTGTTTGTGTGTGTGGGGGGGGGGGGGGGAGGGGGGGTTAAGTTCATAGGGTACTCTCAGGATACGCTCAGATGGATCCGTTAGATATAATACATAAAGTTATTTGGCCTGAAATATTTTCATTCCTTCCATGCTGTTATAAAAAGTCAATTAATTTACATTCTTATTTTTAATTTCTATTTATTTAATTCCCTTTATTTCAATATACATTTATTTTTCCTTAAACTATATAAATTATCACTGAAACATATGAGGTGTTGTTTTGGCATTGTCAAGATCATTTTTTATATCAAAACCAAGATTATATATTTTTGTGATATTGTGTTCTAAAACATTATTTCTGACCTCCAAAAGAATTTTTGAATCTTCGGGAAAAAAAAGGATTTTCAGCGGAGAAGAATACGCATGAATTTTTGATATGATCACGAATTCGGAAAGAAAAATGTCGATTATTTTCTTTTATGAACATAAAAATACTACATGTATATGGAATTTCATATGCGACGGTCAATTATAACTCTGCCAACTGCTTACTACCACTGCCAACTGCTTATACTGCCAACTGCTCACTGTCACTGCTTATAGATGGTATTACTCAGGTTTTACATGCATGCTTTGAAATGGAACATTACTACTGTGAAAAAAGGCATATCCATGAATGTTAATATTGGGAAGAAGAAGGAAAACAGATGCAAAAGACCGAAGTCCAATATTTCCTGACAGATGAAGTACCTCAAAAATTATTTTGAATGGGAAAGGGGCCTTATTCAGTAATATAACGATAGCTAAAAATGGGGAGTCTCTAAATGCAGGTTCTTATCTACAAGTAGTGAAAGCTTTTCATTAGGCGAATTGGGGGGGGGGGGGGGAATAGGATTTTGGGTACTATCACAGTGTTAAATTCATTGTTTCAGAAAAAACTTGTTTGTCGTAAGTAAAATGTCATTATGAAACTTTTAGCATTTTATTTTCCAATACTATGTAAAACATTACAAGGTATCCCAGGTAGCACAAAACATTTTCAAAACATTTTACTGCAGTTATAAAAAGGTTTTTTCAAAACATTTCAGAGTAAACATTTTTAAAATGTTTTAAAAACATTTTTCTTTCCCATTGTAACATTTTAAAAACATTTTAAAAATGTTTTCAAAATGGTTAAGGTAAAATCTTTAAGGAACATTTCTATAGAATGTTTTTGAAACGTTTTAAAAATGATTCGAAAGGTATGTTTTGTTTGCATATATTAAACAGTTTCACATTACGTTATAAAAATGTTTTTAAAACATAATATAAACATTCCTCTTCTATATATCTGTAACATTGTAATGTCACTTTTCTAAAACATTTTGAAGGAACGTCGTCAAAATGTTTTTAAAACATTCTACATACTGCTTATAGTATAATATTTAAATGTTTTCAGGTGTTGGTCGTGAAAATGTTTTTAAAACATTTATCAAAACGTTTTCTCCTCCTACAGCTGAAACATTTTATTTATGATTTATGCAACATTTTATAGAAACATTTTCAAAATGTTTTTAAAACATTTATATCATTTTCAATATTAATGCATTTATTTATTTTCAAAGTATGTTGTAAAAATGTTTTTAGAACATTGACTTTAACGTTTATTCTTCTAAAGACTATAACATTTTATTTAGCATTAATGCAACATTTTGTAATGTAATTTTCAAAATGTTTTGAAAATATTCACGACTAACCCAATTGTCTGAGAAAAAAAATGCATAGAATATCCAGAGAAGATTGGGATTAAATGAATAATTGCTTTTAAAAATTTTCCGAAGACATTAATATTACTGCAACTCGATCACTTGCGTATCCCGGTATTTTCTTTCTTTTTTTCAATAATACATTTTTTTTAAAAGTCTTATTGAGTTCACAGACTTGTAATCAATACAAAGTTCATTGAATAAATTTAAGATACTTTAATTTTAAAAAGAAAACAAAATAATAAACAAACTGTTTACAATAATTAACACAGCCTGATTTATGACGGTCTCGCCTGTTTGCATCATATTTCTTAAACTCCAAGGCAGCAGATTAGGAGTGGCTTCACTGGTCAGTTTCAGGTCAAGATAACCTTGTTATGCAATTCTCCTTCTGGACAGCGCGTTATAGAGAATAGTGGTTTGCAGCTTATCTAGGCCAAAATTTGAATTCTGGTAAACAGGATGTGCGCGTTTTCTTGTCGCTGATTTTCAAACAAGATTTTTGCATCATATAAGCCTGGAGAATGAGCGCCGGATTATTAACATCTGCATTGTGAGTATGCTTTAATCAGAGATTTCAAAAGATAATTTTTAAAAATAACCTTTATGTTACATTGTATTTTTGTATGCATATGTGTAGCAAAGACAAAGCTATTATGTATTTGAATTAAATACTTTAGGCAACAACAAGTATACCTCCTTATCTTATGTTGATCATAATTCTAAATATCTTATTATTGAAACATTAAATCATATTGCAGTTAGATGACCGTTCCAGCAACAGACTTGAATTCCATTCAAATTGCCACATTTGAAAGAACCGCCTCTAGCTGACAAGACAAAGGCAATTTTTTGTACGTAAATATCATTGCTCTTCAATAATATTATTGTGTTATAGTTATGAAGAAGCAACAATTCTAATTCTTTTCATAATGCAAATGGGAAAAGTTCTTATGATTTTATGATTTAATTAAAAAATGTTCTTGTATATTTTCATCATTTAAAGATCTGAAGTAAATGACTTAAACACTGTTGTCTCCATGTTTACAGGTTCTGCTTTACTGAAAAGATCGAGCGACTTGTTCAATTCCTTCTTGTGAAGTTTATGTGTGCGCTTCCATTTATATAATAGCTAGATCCACCGCTCTGTGGAACCTACACATATACATGTAGATACATGCATTTTGCGGGATCGTAATTGATAACAGTGATCTAGGCCTGGTTATTCTTTTTATGGGAAGGATTTGTGTGATTCTGTTATTTTTAAATTCAGTGAATGGATTTTTTTCTTTAAAAATACCTGTTGGGTTAAAACAATATAACTCAGAACTTGTACTGGAAATGGAACTAAAATGTGTTTTGCATATTGCATAAGGGTTTGTATTAAAATTGGTAAAAAAAAATGAATTCATTCAGTTGTGATTTATTCTTTGAGAGTTATAATTAAGATGAAATGTATTAAAAGCGCTCTTAAAATCATACAAAATGATGTTCTCATGTCATTATTGAAAATGTCTATTGACATTTCAGGAAAGAGATGTCATTGCGACATTTGGGTAAAATGTTTTAAAAACGTTTTAAAAACCATACAAAATCACGTGAATAAAACATTTGCAAAAATGTTCTTGTAACATTTTCGGAAAATGTTCTGATAACATTTGCTGAAACATTTGGGTAAAATGTTTTAAAAACGTTTAAAAAACCATACAAAATCACGTGATTAAAACATTTTTGGAAAATGTTTTTGTAACATTTTAGGAAAATGTCCTGATAACATTTGCTGAAACATTTGGGTAAAATGTTTTAAAAACGTTTAAAAAACCATACAAAATCACGTGATTAAAACATTTTTGGAAAATGTTTTTGTAACATTTTAGGAAAATGTTCTGATAACATTTGCTGAAACATTTGGGTAAAATGTTTTAAAAACGTTTAAAAAACCATACAAAATCACGTGATTAAAACATTTTTGGAAAATGTTTTTGTAACATTTTGAAAATGTTTTAAAAACATTTTTAAAATGTTTTTGTGCTAGCTGGGATTGTACTCTTTAAAAAAAAAGTTCCTAGGCAACATCCAGACACGTAGGAAGTAACATCAGTGCCGGGGGGGGGGGCAAAACCCAACAGAAATCCCTTGACAAGTAATTGAAAAAAATCACAGACGTCAATTATATTGAGGAACCTCAACAGTGAAGGAATGAAGAAAAATGTAATCTATGATTTCAGTGAATGTAACAAAAATTTTATTCTCTACGTATAAAATGTATATGTTGGATTTTAATATATTTTTTTAAATATCTCCTCTCTCTCATTCTCATATAAAGGGCGGCTAAGTCAATATAATTAATTTTTGTATATTAAATTGAATTTTGGATACTACATAAGAAGTACATGTTCTTTACTGAAATCGCATACTTGTGGAGACTTAAGTAAAAAAAAATCCTTCCTATTTAAAAGAGAAAGAAAGCAAAAATATTCTTAAAATCATTTCTTTACATACTGTATGTGAGTGCTTGCATATCATTCTATAAGAAAGCACTTTTAGTTGAACTTTAACTGCGGCTTTATTTCATCTGTTCGATTTAGTTTCTGTTATTATACAGCACGGGTCAAAGGTAAAAATGTTAGGTCAATAGGTAATTTCCTGTGTAAACAACGACAGCTAGCTGTAGCGTAGTTTCATTTCAGCAATGGATACACGGATTTCATGTGTACTCATACTGTTTAGTTATGGATGTTGTTCTCATCTTTACTTGACTGATGAGTACGAATTTAAGACTGTATTCCGTGGTGTCCGAGACAGAAATGGATACATTAAAGCTCGCAATGAAGTGATATTGGCTGAATCTAACATGAGAATTGGCCGTGATGTTGTTTTAGACAAGACAGAACAGAGAGTTAACGACATACTGATGAAATACAAAGAATTAGAAATAAACAAATCAAGAACTCTGAATGGAGCACCATTCCCCCCGAGCATTGATTTTCTGGTCAGTAAACCAATGGTGGAGAAAAGCCAAGTGTTTCAGATAATAAAATTGATGCCTAAAGGTACGTTAATTTTCTTTGTTCTGCAGCATCATAGAGATTTGATATACCAGTCTAAATAATA